TTAACCTATTGGTCGAAGAAACTTTTTTTTTTAATTTGTAGTTTTTTTACGAGCTTTTCGAATTTCTTTCAAAACTAGGTTATTTGTACTATATTTAGAAGGAGGCGTGCAGTTTTGTGTATAGGTAAGTTAGACTAAATAGTCTTATTTTCATCCAAGAAACCTGTTGTAAAGCGTTGTCCGTCCTATTCAGGGACACCCTATATACATATAACTAATTTAAATCATCCCAAAACGAGTAGTTACTTAATTAAAGGGAAAAATATTTCGAAAATATTTCTAATACGTCGCTAATTTTATCCCGTTTACTTTGTAGTCCAGTAACATTTTTCCCAAAATTGAAAATATTTTAAAATTTTTCTTGTTTTCTTAATTCAGAAATTATTTGACTAGTTATTTTAATTTGTTTAGAACAGTAGTTTACGTTATTAAATCTTGAAAAAGTGTTTCAAGAGATAAAACAATATTGTGAGATATATTCTTTATTAGCTACCTATGTAGCTATGTAAAATAAATATTTATTAAATTATGTTAAATTTAGTCTTACTTTCTTTTGTTATAATTAAGTTGTTTCTTATTTACTTTAAATTAATACCTGCCTTGTCCTTATCCTTAACGTCTTTATCCCTCACACGGACATCAGACACTACCTACGTACTATGCGACGCGTGCATTAACCGCGAACTGAAACTATAAGCAGCTTTGAGCCGGCCTCACTTCCAACCTAAATCACGTTATTTTAACCGCCTCGCGTGGAGGGGAACTGTATCATATTGTAGGCAAGTGTGACGCGCCTACAAGCAAATAATTCCTGACCTCACTGTGGTGAGGACTAGTGGGGAGTAACAGTAGCCAATGCCGCCGGGCCGATGGAAAGATCCGATCTTAGCCGGCATCCAGCTATAAAATTTAGCGTGGTAACTCTTCTACTTGGTAATAGGCGGCAGTTCTAGTGGTGGCTTTATTGCCAAATGATAACTGCCATATAAATTCGATGCATTCAATTATGTATTTAAAGAGATATGGAACTTATCTTTTGATTGGAAATCACAGTTGTGATAAATGCTTAATAAAATAAATTAAATTAGAATTAAAACTACGAATTTACCTAATTAATTATTTATTTTATATCACCTTGGAATGGAGGAATACAAAAACTTGAAATTAATGTTTTTAGATTTNGCTCTTGTGCATAAACAAATTATCGGAATTTAATCGGACTTTTTTCATTTTATAGGCTTATTTAATACCTACCTTTTTTGTATAAACTTTTTTTCGCTATGAATAATAGCTTTTTTACGTGAGTCAAAAAACCACTTTTCCATAACTTTGACCACTGTTAAAACAAAGTTTCCCAACTAGCCTCGAGTTGATTTTTTGATATTTTATTTATAACAGGTTTCCGAACAATATTCCGCAGAGAAACTTCTAATAGTATTTTTTCCCGAAACAGGCTCTTTCATGTCTATAATGACTGGGCTATATAATTATTACCAAATAAAAGGCACTTTTTTCCCTAATAAACAAATAAAATAACTACGTGGTTTTTAACTTTTGAAGGAAGTTATATACACCATTCGAAAGCTCGTAAAGAACCCTACAAATTAAAAAAAAAACAAGTTTCTACGACCAATAGGTCCGGAGTTAGCAACTTTTTTTTAAATCACGTTATAAACATTAAGACCTGAAATTTTAACATTTTGTAAATGAAGGTTTAAACTTTATGCCCTGTTAATTTTAATCGAATTTGTCCATAATTGATCAATCCAGCGCGCGTCAAAGTAAGGGTACGCGGCAGTAGCCCTTCAGGGAGTGGTGGTGGGGGGATCTTCCTCTCAACCAGGAAAAAACTGACAATGTCAAATTTGTAATATCTCAGCTTCTATGTAACGTAGAACCTTATTTTTTTTTTAATTTGGGATAGCTCGACGAAAAAATTACTTCTGGATTATTTCTACGCTCGTTTTGATTATTATTCATTGTCTTTTGTTTATTCAGTACATTTTAATAATAATAATTATTATTATTATTGTTTTTTTTATTAATATGTTTATTGCAAATAACCATAACCTTCTAACATCTCCACAAACAAGGAAACCAATCAGTGGAACAGTTAATATAATTTCAGCATTCAAAGTGACCAAAATGCGATACAATTTTATCCTCCCCAAAGCCACGCCGTGGAACACGAAACATCTGGCCTAATCGATACAAAAGCGCCTTACTCCAGATAAACGGATCGGTTCGAAAAAGGCGCTCGGCATCGCGACGGCGGCGCCTCAGTATCCATATATCGAACGGACCGGCGGCCGGTGTCAAAAAACACGTTTAGGCATGATTCGATTTAATTATATAATGCTCTTCGCAAGCAGAGCTTTCAGGAGTTTCAGGCGGATCGGCAGATAGCAACGACCAACCTGGTAAGGTACGCTTTTCTTTACCTTCCCGGCTTGCTAGAATCTCGCGATTTTTCGTCGGGATGAATGTAGAGGTTACCCTGTTGCTAAGTAGATTTTTTCTGGCACGTATCGCGGTGGCTGTAGCTTTAAAATAGTACTTGGAACAAAACTGTTTCTTTTTAAAGAATCATATGTTAGTCACTTTTTTATAGAATACCTACTCGACCAAGGAAGATTATAATCTAAATATAAAAAACAATTTTCAATCAATTAACTTTAATCTCTAGTCAAAAGGTGAGTTAATTCTTCAATACTTTTTATTGTTTTGTGCTCTATTTATATAAGATCAATCTCGAATTACACGTCATTATTAATATCCAAAATGTTTACGTTCGTTATCAAATACTTAGGTACGTTATTTAAAAACACCTATATATTTTTATTTTAGATAAAAATTATCAGATGTACCCAGTTTTATTTTGTAATCTTTCAATCAACTTTGGACCCTAAAGATTTGGCTACTTTAATCTAAAATCTTTGATACAGAATGTGTACTGCCAAAAAAATTATTCCATATATAAGCTAGTCGATAATAATTTTGAAGTAGCATTCTCTTAAAACTGGAATTGATTGAGTATTAAATTACATATAAAATTACACAGCATGTTAAAACTTTGACTGCAATAATTTTGATAGGTGTCAGTATACATTAAAAAAACCTTTTTGGAAAACTATCATCAAGAGTTGACATTTTCATTAAATTTTCAGTTGACAAAGTCAACTTAGCTCCAAAATACTTTTATGTTCTAGAACGCCAAAGTCTTTTTCGTTCAAGAACATAAAACAAATGTCAAAACAATATGTCATTTTTTCTAAACTTATTTATGATTTTATTAATTAAATAACATATATTTTAAGTAATATAACATTTCAATACAAAACGGTAACTATTATAAACAGGCCGATTACAAAATATTTTGTACTACATGTAAACTGAAAGTGTCGATATTGTAGCGAGTTAAATTTATGCCAGATCCAGTGCTGTCAGTTATCGTAGCTTTTAGTTCTGGGTGTTGCTGCTGCTGCTGTATTTGTTTAAGTTTACTGCGCACGTTGTATTATTGGCAAATTCCGCAGGCCCTGCTGAAGATTGTAACAATTTGTTTGCGAGTGCAATTAATTTTATTTCGTATACAATATTCTATACAGTACGCGCCTAAAGTATGGAATAAATTCAGTAAAAACGGAACAAATTTGTTTTGGGAAAAATCCTCGAACAGGTCGATTTATAATTTAAAAAAATACATATTTTTGCATAAAATGCGATTTTCAGCCGTCATTTGTTTTCGAGTAATGACGTCATCGACATTTTTTTTAAATAGCAACCCCCTATTTTTTTTCTTGTTTCTGATAGATCGTTTGATTGTCGATCCGACAGTATTAAAATGTTGCCATCTTACATAGGAAAGTTTTCGAGTAAATGACAGTTGAATGTTAGGAAACCCAAATCAATTAAAATATAGCAAAAACGTTATCAAATTTAGTTTTTCGAAATGCCTGAAGTTTTTTATGGATCACGTAGGTGTAAATCTTTACAAAGTGTCACTGTCATACCGACTTTCTAAGTATTGTCAATTTTCTCTTTCGTTAGAATTCTGGACTTTTTTGTACGGTATCCAACTGATTTTCTGTTCAAATATGGTATTACTTTTGGAAACTTTCTGATATTTATATTTTTTTGGAATTCAGTGTACTTTTTAACATGGAATAATGTCGAAGGTTTAATTTTATTAATTTTATGTTCGAAATATGCCAATAATGCCGCTTCGTACACTTTTTGAATTTTCTTCGACCTATGTAAGCCAACTCTTTGAATTCGCTGTAGGCAATCTCGTACTGTCTTGACAATTTTTTGGGGATTAATTGTGAAACAGCTCTTTGTGCCGCTTCCAATACTTTCCCTGGTAAATGTTCGTCTTCGCTTTCCGAGCTCATTTTAAATTTAACACTCTTAGAATATAAATTACAATATATAATTCAAACACGGTTCAATCGATTCCAAATATAAATTAAATTTTTGTATATGTATAACATAATTGTCTTATTTTATTCATATACATGACCTGGATCCTAAACGCAACGATTCCGAGAAAAAAAAATATCAAAGTCTTCAAGTTGATGTAAAAATGTTCGATTAATTCAGGAATCTCTAAATAATTTTGTGCATAGGATACCATAATGCTTACTATTTCTCTGAATTTGTTTATGTTACTTTTAGTAAAATAACTAGTTTTGTGAATCGATAAAATTCGATAAAGTTGATATAGTGCAATATGACAACAAGCGACGGAATGACATTGATGTGCTGCTAGCAAGACGATTGCTTTTTCCAGTGGTAGATATAAGCTACAAAAATGAAGTAGCTAAGCCTTGAGATAATTTTTTTTATGATACCTTGATATTTTATTTACGTGATGAGCATTTTAGGAACATTTTTAGAATCGTTAGAAATAGTTCAATACCATTATTTACCATTTACCAAATATTTCATGTATTAGAACTATTACACATTTAAAAAACGATATTTATTCATGCATAGGAATGTTTTTTACGGTTTGTGTCATTTTCTTTGGTTGCAGAAGCCCTTCGAATGGAATGGAAGCCGATGAAACCAAGGTGAGGGTGCCCTCGGTGCTGTGGATACCCCTGCTGATATGCGGCGCCTTCCTCTTCTTCGTAGACGTCTTCCAAATAAACTACGACTCCCTGGTGTCCACCAGGGAACCCATCAGGGACCTCTTCCCCGAGAAGAAGTTCCTCGCCGGTTTCGCCATCAACACCCCGGGTTGCAGGATACCGTACATGGACCCCTTCGACGAACACATCAGGAAGTTCATAGAAGAACCCAAAGTGCCAAAGTGTAACAAGGGCATACCTGCCTTGTACCAGTCAAACCTAACCTCGATATACCTGGTGAACTCTTCGCTAGTATTCTACAACATCACCGACCGCAGCGAGCTGAGGTGTTGCTATAGCGCGTTTTGGAGGCAGGAACCCAAACGCAACCAGAACGACGACAGAGTGAAATATAGTAAGGAGTGTGTTATCGTGAGTGAAAGTGTTAACATCAGTGAGGAGTTTATCAGAGTCCTGTGCACGTACGACAACAACACCGTCTACAAGGACATGTTTTCCTTCGTTCCACTAAAAAATGCCACCGCTGCTTCCATGGCTGACCCGAAACCACTCAACGTGCTCGTGGTGGGCTTAGATGCAGTATCCAGGCTCAACCTCCACAGGCAAATGCCCAAGACCCTCATATACCTCAAGCAACTTCAAGTAGTGGAACTGCTAGGTTACAATAAGGTGGCCGACAATACTTTTCCTAACCTCATCCCGGTGCTGGTGGGGATGACAGAGGGGGAACTAAGGAACAGCTGCTGGACCTCCAACAAGGACCATTTCGACAAGTGTCCTTTCATTTGGAACGATTACAAGGCCAAAGGGTACACCACGGTGTACGGAGAGGATTCCTCGTGGATGGGACTGTTTAATTACCAGAGGAAAGGCTTCACGAAGCAACCTACGGATTACGGTTATAACTTCTTCAGTAGGATCACGGAGAAGGAGATTGGGAACGAGCACAGCATGAACGTGGATCAATGCGAAGGTGCCAGGATGGTCTACAAAGACCTCTTGAACTACATAAGTAAGTTCGTCGTGACAATGGATACGAACAAGTTGCCTTACTTTGGCTTCTTCTGGGGCGCGAGCTTATCACACGACTACCTCAACAAGCCCAAGATGGGGGACGAAGACTATCGCGACTTCTTCAAGAACCTCTACGAAGAAGGCCACCTCGAACACACGGCTTTGATCTTCATGAGCGACCACGGCATAAGGTGGGGGGAGATAAGGCAGACCTACCAGGGTAGGATGGAGGAGAGGTTGCCCTTTGTAATCATGTATCTTCCGAAGTGGTACAAGGATACATACCAAAGGGCTTACATAAACTTGATGAGAAATGCGAGGAGTCTCACCACGCCCTTCGACCTTCACGAAACGCTGAAGGACCTCTTGAATCCCTTCAACTTGACCGAGGAGAACCTGGAGACTAATCAAACCTCCAGGGGGTACAGTCTGTTCAGGGAGATCACCCCTAAAAGGACCTGCGAGGACGCGGAAATAGCCAGCCACTGGTGCACGTGCCAGCAGAGCTTGGAGGTGAAAAACACCTCTGCGATCGTCGTACAAGCCGCCGCTTTCGCTGTAGAATATATCAATGAACAACTAGTAGGCTACGCGCAGTGCGCCAACCTTTCCGTGGACGTCATTTTGAACGCTAGATTGATGACGCACCTGGAACACATCGACGGCAAGAATAGGATCGAGGACTATATGATAACGTTGAGGACTTTGCCTGGTGAGGGCATCTTCGAGGTGACCGTGAGGCACTCCAAGGTAGGGGATAAGTTTCAGGTGATGGGATCCATCAGTAGGCTGAACCTTTACGGGAAGCAGAGCTCTTGTATCACTGACTTCCACTTGAAACTGTACTGTTACTGCAAGAGTTTGTTGTACTGATTTTTTTTTTGAGGTCTTGGTGGTTAGCCAAAAGTTTGTAACCGTACGGGTGTAGTGAAGATCTGAACCAGACGGTGTAAGTAAGAAGCAGTGGCGGCTCGTGGAGATTAAAGTAATTTTGATCTGGTCTCAAGTAGAGGACTTTCATGATAAAAATATTTCGAACTAATTTTGTGAAATAAAATAGGAGTGGTGTAAAGTGATAGATACAAATAGGTTTTTGTCGAAAATACCTCGATTTTTGCCAAAATTTAGTCCAGTAAACAAAGACACGTGAATATTAGGAAAAATTTCGTAGAATTGAACGAAGTTATCGAAAAACAGTTTTTTCATTTAAAAAAACTAAACATTTTAGGAAAAAATGCTTTAGACAAAAGTTATAGAACTTTTTATAACAAAAATTTTGAGCCCAGCCCTATATCAATTGATATACAAATGGAGGTATTAGTTATTGCAAAAAAAATGGTTAAATATTGCATTTTCTTAAAACTTCTCTATATTTAAAACGAAAAATGATTTTTTTTACGAAACTTTCAGAAGTAGTCTTTGGCAAGTGCATTTTTGTAAAATTGCAAAATATTTGAGAGTTTTGCAAACATTAAGTTTTTTGTAAAAAAAAATATTTTTTCAAGGTTCAATAAATCATACAGTAATGCACTTACGTGATCTATCTTGGCCTTAAAATTTTCTCTAAGACTTTCCTGTGCAAATTGTGCGCATAATTTGGAATATGCGAAAAATCTACCGAAACTTTCACTTCTTTTTGGGTCGAAAAATATAGATCTTCTTATCGATGAAATTTAATCGGAATGGCATTATTGCCATTTGAAAGCTGACATTTATTCACGAATTAAAAAAAATTTCGTCCTACAACCAACAGGAGCCGAGAAAATTGTTTTGCCATTTCTATTAAATTTCAACGATAAGAAAAAAATTGCATTTTTCAACCAAAAAGGAAGAAGTCGATTTCAGTAGATTTTTCGCATATTTCCAATTATATTGCAATATGCGCAAAATTTGCACAGGAAAGTACAACTCTTCGAGAAAATTTTAAGCCCAAGAAGGGTCACATAAGTGCAATAGTGTACGATTTATTGAAACTTAAAAAAATGTCTTTTTTTAGAAATACTCAATTTTTGTAAAAACTATCAAATATTTTGCAATTTCATAAAAATGCGCTTATTCTACAAATCAAGGACTACATATTCTGAAAATTTCGTAAAAAAATCTTTTTTCGTTTTAAAGATATACCTAGAAGTTTTAAAAAAATGCGATTTTTAGCCGTTTTTCTGCAATCACTGACACATTTGTTTATCAATTGACATGGGGCTGGGCTCAATTTTTGTTATAAAAAGTTCTACAACTTTTGTCTAAAACATTTTTTTTTTAAAATGTTCAGTTTTTTTAAACGAAAAAACTGTGTTTTTGCCAACTTTTGGACGCCATTTTGAAAATGAAGCCCTAACATTCAGCTGGAGTAAAGTAAAATTCAATTCTACGAAATTTTTCTTAATTTTTACATGTCTGTTTACTGAATACTGAACTAAATTTTGGTACGTAAAAATTCGGCATTTTGGCATTTGATTGGACTATTTCTCAAAATGTTCATTTATCTTGAAATTACAGCATTTCGAAATTTGAAAAATAGAACGATTAATGCCAAATTAAAATTTAATATCACTAGGAGGAAAAATTAATATCAATTTTGTTAATTATTATTTTTTTTCAATTAATTTCGCAAATTTCGTTCGAGATTTTTTCGTCATAAAAGTTGATGATCTGAAATCATCCCCCAGAAAACTGTAGCGATAAATGACCACTTTAATTTTCTCTTGTCCTCACTGGTAAGATGTGCTACTTGGAAAGGAATAGTAAAATAATTTTTTGTATTGAAGATACTTAAAAAAAACATGAGGAAATACACTACGCAACAAAATTTTTCATCGAAGTTTTGCCATTTTTCTAATGCGCATAGCTCCGTCAATTTTCATCGTATCAAAACGATTTTATGATTTTGTAGTGAATTATCTGCACTTTAAGAAAAAATCTATGCGAAATGAATGCGAATCGACACCGCATCTCCATGTCCTGATAAAACCCAAGCACTTTTTTTCTAAAAAAATTGATTGCTTAACGCGTTACCTGGATCGCCCCGATTTTTTTTCTAAAATAACCACCTTGACCATCGTAAAGTGCACTTTCTAACAAGCAATTTGAAAAAAAGTCTTTGCGATTTTTTTTGACCGAGTTATGCCACTTTGGAGATACTCGTACATTTTTAACGAATACCGCCATCAACATACTTCAAACTTCAAAATGGCATAACTCGATCAGAAAAAATCGTAGAGACTTGATTTTTTTTCAAATTGCTTGTTAGAAAGTGCACTTTACGATGGTCTAAGTGTGATTTTCGAAAAAAAAATCGGGGCGATCCAGGTAACGCGTCAAGCAATCAATTTTTTTAAGAAAAAAAGTGCTTGAGCTTTATCAGGACATGGAGATGCGGTAGCGACTCCCATCCATTTCGCATAGATTTTTTCTTAAAGTACAGATAATTTACTACGAAATGAAAAAAAAAACGTCTTGATACGACGAAAATTGGCTGAGCTATGCGCATTATAAAAATGGCAAAATTTCAATGAAAAATTTTGTTGCAATAATTTGGTTGCGAAGTGTAGTAATAAAAGAAAGTTATTGTTGGAATAGGAAAATTTTGTTTTCACGGATCAAACGGAAACATTGCTAGAGAATTTAAAGAAATATATATGAAAATTACAATTTGGGAGGTGGAATATAATATACCATAAAATTTCTCTTACTTTTTTACTTTTGAGTATTGTCTCATATAATGAAGTGAAGTAAATTTTCCTTAATTTAATATATTCTTTCATTTGTAGAAAAAAAAGTTATAATAGTATTATCGGGGGATTTATACAGGGCGTTCCGAATTTATCCACAAAAATTCAGGAAAGCGTAGAGGAAGTAAAAAAAGTTGGTGTCAAAACTCCACCGTTTTTTTAAATACAGGATATCAGAATTAAAAAAAAAGATATCTCCAAATATCTTCGAAGCAGATGAAGATATTGAAGCGAGATTTTGGGTAATGTATGTAAATGTACGAATAATATATTCAAAGTGAAAAATTTAAGCGTTAATTGAAATCAGTGGCGTAGATATTTTCCTAAAAAATTATGGCATGCTTATTGGAAAATAAATGTGTTTTTTCCGAATTGCCATTTTGTACCAAAACGAGAAAAGCTGTGCAAAAAAATTAAGTGATCATTATCGTTCAAAACAAAACTTGCATTTCAGGAATCACAAAAATATTTATTTTCCAGTGGCGTATCATAATTGTTTGAAGAAAAATGTGAATTCCTCTCGTCTACGCCACTGCTTTGAGCTGACACTTAATTTTGTTTCAATAACTTCAGTTGTTCAGACATTATATAGCGAAATGCTATTATTTTTTCTTCCTCTATGAATCCCTGAGTTTTCGGGACACGCTGTATATTAAAATTGGAGAAGGGAAACAATAATTGAATTCGTATCCATCCAACTTACTGTTTAATCCAATAGATGGCACCACGATTCGATAGCACACGAGAAATAAATAGTAAAAGAGAAATAAAATAACCATTCCTGGAAGAGGCAGGCGTTATTTTTAAAAAAATTCGAAGTTTTAGTAAATTGTTAGAAAATGTGCTTATTTAATTTTATAAATAAAATGAATAGGGAAAACATTTTCATATTTGATGTCCTGTATTTATTTATAAAAGGTGAGTCAGATTTAATGTGACATTACTTTTGAACATTCAGTATGTCGAGGGAGGAGCAGAAATGTTAATATGAAAAACCGTATTTATTTTCAAAAGTACGAACCTATACAAAGTGTCCACTATTTTTGAGCTGTACCATTGGAATCTCGGTTATCTTAAGAGATACAAGGTTAGTTTTGAAGTTATCAGCAAAACTTTCCGTTTTTTTTTTTTCGAAAACTAGAGCTGGACTATAACCCAGACATTCTAAGGTAACTTGTTTGTGGGTAATTCAAATATGTAAAATCGCATTAGCTCTGACGCCTAGCTACGAGGAGACACGACATTCAAAATTTGTTTTTTTTTTTCATAGGCACCATATTCGATATTCATATTTTTAAGCTCAGCACATTTTTCTGGTTACGATGACTTGTATTATGATATCACTTGCTTCTTTATTTCTGTCGAAATGCCAGTTTATCAATTTTTACAAAGAGTGCTTTGGAAACAAAACAACTATTTCTCCAAAGAAATTTTGACAGTTTCCTACGCTAAATCTTTATTGACAGGCTGATTGACAGTGTCAAACTTTAAATACGTAATTAAAAATGCAAGTTTGACATTAAGAGCAAGATGTGTTGTATTATTTACATTTTCATTATCTAAACTTTGACATTGTCAATGAAAATTAAACTAATGAACTCTCAAAATTTCATTCAAAGTAATAATAAGTATTGGATGTTTATTTTCCAAAGCACTCTTTGTAATAATGATAATTTGTTCTTAATATTGTTGTTATTTGTTATTAGTTTGTTAATGTTTGACAGAAACAAAGAACCAAATATATCAAACAGTGTATAAATAATAAAACAGAAAAATGCGCTTAATTAAAAAATGCCATAATGGTATGGGGGGCTAATGGGACGACATAAATAATGTAACAATGCCCGAGTTTAAAACGTCAACCTTTTCATTTCCTGAGATCCCAATGGTGCAGCACGAAAAATGAGACTCTTGTAATGAATAACTGCAAAAGAAAATGTTTCTTCCCATATAATTTTAAATATATGTACCTTTTAGGAAAATATTCCGATTGACTGTAATTTTTTTCTAGTTTGTTTTCAGTCAAAAGTAAAAAGAATTAAATTAATTATCGTAGAAAAATAATTTACTTATAATTATTATTAGAAATGTATCTGGCGAGCTCTATTGTAAAAAATTGCCATTGTGCAATGACTAAACTGAAAGAGAATAAAGCTAAAATACAAAATGTCCTGTAATCTAAATATATTGTAATTTTGGACTTCCGAAATATGTATACTATACTCGTAATATTTTATGTAATAAACTTAGACTGTATTGGACTGTATATCCAGCGACCTTTGAGGCCAATAACTGGTAGTTGTAGCGCTATAGTTTTTTAATTTATGTTTTTCGTATAGGATTTATTTTTTATACTTTTTGATCTTAGCTGTATGTCGGTAGATGAATTTAGGATAAGTTGTTAAGAGCACCCTACAGTCTCTAAGAAAAGTGCCAAATAATGGCAGATGTGAC